TTTCCCGAACTGGACCTCGCAGAGGTTCCACTTTGGGAGAATGATCCTCCAAAGCCACCTTTGGGACCAATCTTTTGCGTAACCTTCGTGTTCTTGACCTAAACTGTGGCGACCGTACTTACCGCAGTTGATACAAGCACCTTGCGAATCGATCACGCCACACATCTTGATCCATAACCGCCCACACCCAAGCCGTAGTTGACCCTTTGGTTGACCGCCCTTGCCGCAGCCGCCTGCCTTAACCTTTACCAAGAGGCAAGGCTGCTACCCTCAGCTAACTCCTCGCCGTCCAACTCTAAACCGTCCACAAGATCAGATACATCATCGATCTCGGTTTGATTCCCATCGGAATCAACCATCATCAATCGACTACCCTTTTTCTTCCACTCTTGTGGACTCTTCTTCTTTCTTCTATCGGTAGAGGGTTGTTGAGCACCTCCTAGCGTGGCCTCTAAAATTAAGGACTTTCTGCTAAAGGTCTCAAACGTGTGGTACTCAAGGCGAGCCTCACTGGCTAGCAAGTTCCGGACGTCTGTGGGAAGACATCTCAAGAACATGGTCATTAAGACCTGCGGATCACAGCGAACCCCAAGGACTACAATGAGACGTTCTACGATGGAGGTAAGTTCGCGCACGTTCTTGTACTTCCTCGTATCAAGTCGGGTTCGCATCAGTGGCTTGCTGGGCCTGTTGTGGGTTGTGCCAACACGCTTCTACCAAGTCCATAAAACTCTCTGAAGTATGGGTCTTCGCCCAATCACTCATGTTTCTTCTGAATCCCTTTGAAGCCACCAATCCCTCTAACCATCGCGTTGCCGAACCTTCCAGATAGGATGTGGTAGTGATCACCTCTTCCTCTACCACCGTCCTCTTTCCCCTGACCCACACTGTAACCATTCTCAACCAGGTGTCAAGAGCCTCATCTTTCTTATCACCTGAGAAGGTTGAGGGTGGCTTCAGTGGTGTCTTGGGGTACCAAGGGTGCTGTCCCGCTGGCGGGACCGGCTGCTGTGTAGCTGCAGCCGTTGTTCCAGAAGATGAAGCAACAGTCTGTGCTGCTGCTGCTGAAGTACCACTTGGTGAACTGCTAATCTAAAACATAGTAAGGCCACTCGTCACCGGTGAGGAGACCAGCGATGGGAAAACTGGAGGCCAGAAACTGGGCCCACCTATTGGAGATGGGAAAGCTCTTCCCATTCCCTGCATGGTGCTCAGTATCTGGTCAAGGGTATCCTGGATAGCATCCAGTTTGTTGTCCATGTATGCATGCATGGACAAGAGGCCTGCCTTGAGGATCTGCGTGTTATCAATGACAATGCATCTAAACCTTCTACGGCAGCTTTGACCGCATTCCTATTCTCTAGTCTAGCTTTCCTAGGTCTAATTTCATTCTCCTTTTCAGTAGCTTCTTTAAGTTCCTTCTCTAGTCGTAAGTGGATCAACTCCACTTGCTGGAGTTCAATGGCTTCCCTAGTGCGTGGAGGTGGCGAGCTGAACTGCAAGCCCACCATCTAAGTGGGAGAGCTTGTCGCCACTGAGCTGGATGTGGCCTGCGAAGTGAAAGGCATGTCTACACTCATCTGACTAGATGTAGCTGCTATGGTAGCTGCGGTGGTAGCAGCAGAAGTAGCCATAGCTGATACAGTGGCTGTTGCCGCTGCTAGCATACACTCGGCTGCTGCTGCCGCTTCCCTAGCCCTTTGTAAGCGTTCGGCTGCTGCCTCCTATCGTAGAGCCATCTCTCCACCCGGGGGTAAGGCTTGGTGAACTATAGGACCCTAAGGGACTCCTGATGTGTCACTCTTTTTCCTGCAGCACCACTGCCTGGTCCACTCATTTGCTAAGCAGACACTGTCTGCACTAATGCTCTCACTGGAGCCTACCACAACATGTGTCTGACCTTGTTGAAAAATCAATAAAAATAAATAAATATTCCGTAAGTTGCCTAGGCTACTGATCAAGCGGTCTCAATAGCATTCACACAAACTGTACACATGATCTACTCCTACCTTGATTAGTTTCACTCACAGCAGCTTCGATCAAAACTGGCTATGGTAGAACACTATAGTACTAATCTAGGCTGTCTGTTAGGTGTCAACAGTCTGTCCACCGACTAATCAAAAATAAAAAATAAATCGTGTGAGCAGATGTATGCACAATGGGTATAGTTGTGATTGACAGTTGATCCCTCCCCTCTATCCAACGTGCATGTCCGCATCATCGAGCAGCGGTGTCTAAGGTGTGCATTAAATGCCATTAACGGCCCATTCCTGTGCCCAAGGAATATGCTTATGACCATAATTGCCCGTTCTTTATCCTCGAGTGCAACGAGCCTTACGTCTGACTGATCTGGCTGATCAAGAGGCAGTTTAAGGACAGCCCCCAAGGTCCTCAGGAATTATTTAACGTCGCAATCAGGACAACGATCACAACCAGTCGACAGTTTAGACCACTGCCAGAGATATTTATAGACGGTCTGGTTAGCGTCTGCATAGGACTGGTCAGTCAGCACACCCCTTCTATCAGCGCAGCAAAGATCCTTCAAAGGCCAAAGCAGCATGGCCTGCGTGTACTACTCCCATGGGGGCATGGTGACCATGACCCGTGCTTCGACCAGGGCCCTTCAGAGGCACCGCCCTCTCCTGCCAGATGCGCCACCGGGAAGAATGTCATCTGTCAAGGTAGAGCGCTCACGACTCCTTACACAAAAGAGAGGACACTCAAGGTTGGACTCACTTCCTCACCGTAAAAAGAGATTGTGAGGGTAGATAAGGTAAGAGAACAACGTACCTGGAGATAGATGCCCCCAACCACAGATTTCTCACCGTAAATTGAGCTGAATGTGCATTTTGAAGACCGGTTGTAGCCTCGGCACCACCCAAAACGAAATGCAGTGCCACCTCAGCCAAATGCCACATCAGGATGCTCTCATCATCGTACATACATCCGCTGTTGCCACAGCTCCCATGCTGTCACCACAGCCTTCCAGCGGCTCACCCCTCTACCTGGGTGCCACTTTCACAAGCCAGCGCCAATGTATCCTCGCTGCACAGAAGCATCATCAGCGCACCAAGTAACAATGTCGCCTGCGGCAGATAGGCGATCTTGAACCAGCTCCGATACCAAATTGCAAGGAATATGAGTGAGAGCAATATACAAAAGACCAAGTTGCATAATCACGCTTATGTCCGGATAGTCATGTAAAAGCAGAGAGCACAAATGCACCGAGATTCCATCCAAATAAGAGCAATACAATGAACTTGTAAGCCAATGTTCAAGCTCTCAGGCCACACCAACACAGTATTCAACATCGCTCCTCTCTGTCTGGCGCCCATCGCCCAGCCTACACTACTTGCCTATCTACTACAGCCGCATCACACAACAGGCTCACTTTGACTTTGAAGACCAATGTACATGACGTCAATACCATAGCCAACCTCCCTCATGCACAAGGTACGTATCTCATCTCCCCTCATCACCCCTGACACCCACTCTCTCTCTCTCTGCGCCTCCTTCCGAAGACCCTCCTGTCGCCTCTACCTGCCCCGCGCCCTGCAGCCCGGCTATGGCCGCTAGCTCCCCGCTGCCCCTGCAGCACCCTCACCTCCAGCGCCCGTGCGCGCCCCTGGCCAATTAGCGCAGCATGCAGCCACTTACGCAGCAACACAGCAGCGTGCCCGCATTGCCAGCTTGGGCCAGAATGCCTGACCCTGGCTGCCTCCTTCCCTATATGGAAGTAGCTGCCTCTGTTTGGCTGCGTGTGGCCTGGCTGGGGAGCTTCCAATAGCTTCCGGTCAGGCCCCAGTGCCTGCGCCCAGGCCCAGATGCGCAGTTGAGGGCCTGGGCCCTTCACAGTTGGGCACGGCCAGTATTTCCAGACTCGGGCCGTTTGCTGCATTTGCACAGGACCCGGGGTATGTACGTCGACAATGCTGCTTTTTTGCAGGCCCGTAGCCACTTCGTAATGTATCTGCCTTGCATTTTGTGTGTGTGCCCTGGGCCCAACTGTACGACACAGCACAGGGAGGCTCGCACTTCCACTCAACTAACTGGCGTGCTGCAACTGCCTGAGTACTCACATATGGAAAATGTCAAATTTTGGCCTCTGGTGAATATTCAGGCCCGCCTTCACTTAGGGCGGGCACTTGGCTTGCTGAGGGCCTTTGCACAGATCATATGCATGTTTGATAAAGGCCCCGCGAGGGCTCATTCCTCGCAGTTGGACAGTTTGTACATTCCAGCAAACGACACACAAGGACAACAGAAAGAAAAACAAAAATGAATATGCCGTTTTAAGAAAGAAAACAACGCCCATCAGAAGAGGCGCCTGCAACAGGGGGGCAGGGACTTTCTGTTCAATGCTTCCCTCTGCCCGCCACTTGGTGGGTTCTTTGAGTTCTGTTTTTGCCTATTTTGGACACGTCGTGACCGTTGGCAAAAAGCCAACGGCATTCCAACGGGCCTGGCCCACTTTGCACACCCACGACCTGTCGAAATACGGACCCAAGTTCGAATCCAGATACAATCAGATGTCCAGAATAAAATAATTCTGAATTACCTGGGGCCAGTCAATGATATCTTAAGGCTGTCGCCCTTTTGACGAAAACAAAAAAACATAGCCAATGCGGCCCAACGGCATAATTCAGCCTTCTGTTGCATGCCCATGAACTGTTGAGATGCAGACCTGAGATCGAGCATTTCCCCCACAGTGTTTGTTTTTTTTTCCCGGAAAATACAGGGGTTCCAGACAGGCATCTGAATAGGGATTCCGGACCGGTCCGGATATTTCGGAATATTCCGGTTTTCCGGAAGTCCGGATGTGACCGGGAAGTCCGGAGTCCGGGGTCCGGTCCGGCGTAGCTATGGTTGTGACATTGCTATACACAAGATGCAGGGGACAGAGGACAGGGTTACAGGCCTGGCAAGGCAGCTGTACAAAAGCGGAGTGGGGAAGGAGACCAAACACATTGACAGCAACCCAAGTCAGACTGACAACCAACCTTCAGCACATCAGCAGTCATTGCCACCACCAGAGTGTGCCGTACTGGGTCGGTCCCTGCAAGCCTTGCTTGTCGTTCTCTCTCTCGTATCTGCCTTGTTGTCTCATACCCGTCCAGATCTGGCATCTGTACAGGAGAACATCATCCAGTCATCAAGATTAGCGAAGTCTCCGCCACGACTCAAGAGAGAGGATTGACCAGCAATAACAACTATGAAAAAATGATGACTTTGCCCAGTCGATAGGGAAGGTAGAGGTTCTACCATTCTGAAACAGATTGTCCGCCATTCTCAGCCGATTTAGCCAACATCCTGAAGCCATTCACCGATTTGTTACCATTCTGAACCAATTCGTCTGCCATTCTCAACCAATTTTGTAATTCGTTATGATTCTTCTGAACCAATTTACCATTTTGTCCACCATTCTGAACCAATTTGTCCTTGATTCTGAACCAATTTGTCCGTGCTTATCAGTAATTGACAAGTCTACAAGAGAAACAGCTATACTACCTGCACACACCAGCGAGGATTGAGCCACTAGACAACGCTAGAGAAAGGCCACTCCCACCCTAAGTGAAGGTGGGCCTCCAAAATCGGCCTCAGCCTGCATGAGGGCCTTAGTGAGCTGGAAAAGGGGGCCATGTGGGAAGTTGCTGTACACAGCATCTTCAACCAACCGGCAGGGCCCAACCCCAAGGTGGTTGAAGATGCCGAGGCCCAGGGCTCGGGCAGTTACCGGCGGGGCCCAGGGAGTCAGTCCAGCCAGGCCAAACACCTCGCAGCCAGTACAAAATGACAGAAGAGGCTCCCTCATTCAGACATTCTGGCTGGTTGAATGGCGGCAGCGCTGCGCACTCACTTGCTGGAGGAGGGCCAAGCCAGAGGAGGAAGTAGGCACTGGCAGGGCGCAAGGAAGACGCTGCTAGGGCACAGCAGGCAGGGCGCAGCATCCATAGCCAGGCTGCTGGCGCCATAGCTGAAGGAGGAGAGCGGTGGTCCTGGGGATTGGCTGTGAGACAAATGGAAGTCAGGGAGAACGGGCGATGTGACGAGGCACTCACTGGTGGAAGAGAAGCGGACCGTTTGAGCGGTGTCTTCATGCATACATCACGCTGATGATGTCCATAGCTGACCTGTTGTAGATAGAAGTTCAAGTCATAGAAGCTGACCATGTAAATCGCTACTTTGGTTCTTGCTTCAACTAGCCTTGCGCATGTGTTTTATCATCTTTTCTTCCAAGTTTTGCGCAATCTTCCACTTGTGTGTAAATCGCTACTTTTTGCTTCTTCTAGTGTAGGGAGCTTCCCTCTCTCGTTTTGTCCATTCCTCTACTCCCATGTAAATCGCTACTTTGGTTCTTGCTTCAACTAGCCTTGTGCATGTGTTTTGTTATCTTTTCTTATAAGTTTTGATCAATTTTCCACTTCGGTGTAAATTGCTACTTTGAATCTTGCTTCTTCTAGTGTAGTGAGTTTCCCTCTCTTGTTTTGTCGGAAATTTGTCCATTTCTCCACCCCCATGTAAATCACTACTTTGGTTTTTGCTTCAACTACCCTTGTGCCTGTGTTTTGTAATCTTTTCTTCCAAGTTTTGGTCAATTCCACTTCGGTGTAAATTGCTACTTTGAATCTTGCTTCTTCTAGTGTGGTGAGCTTCCTTCTTTCTTGTCTTGTCCATTTCTCCACTCCCATGTAAATCGCTACTTCGATTTTTGCTTCAAGTAGCCTTGTGCATGTGTTTGTCATCTTTCTCTTCAAGTTTCATTCAATTTTTTGGTTGGGTGTATTTAGCTTCAATCTTGGGCGCTTCCACTAGTCATGTGTATGTGTCTTGTCAACAATCATGCTTTTCGTCAATCTTCCACTCGGTGGTGTTCCGCTTCACTCTTGGGTGCTTCCACTAGTCATTTCTCATGCTTTTCGTCAATCTTTCACTTGATGGTATTTCGCTTCAATCTTGGGTGCTTCCACTTATCATGTGCATGTGCCTTGCCAAGTTTCTCTCATGCTTTCCGTCCATCTTCTAATTGGTAGTGTTCCGCTTCACTCCTGGGTGCTTCCACTAGTTATGTGCATGTGCCTTGTCAAGTTTCTTTCATGCTTTTCGTCAATCTTCCACTTGGTGTTTCGCTTCACTCTTGGGTGCTTCCACTTATCATGTGCATGTGCCTTGTCACGTTCTCTCATGCTTTTCGTCAATCTTTCACTTGATGGTATTTCGCTTCAATCTTGGGTGCTTCCATTAGTCATGTGCATGTGCCTTGTCAAGTTTCTCTCATGTTTTCGTTCAAAGTTCCACTTGGTAGTGTTCCGCTTCAAACTTGGGTGCTTCCAGTAGTCATGTGCATGAGTCTTGTCAAGTTTCACTCATCCATTTCCACCTCTTGGGTGCTTCCACTAGTCATGCGCATGTGCCTTGTCAAGTTTCTCTCATGCTTTTCGTCAATCTTCCACTAGGTGGTATTCCACTTCACTCTTGGGTGCTTCCATTATTCATGTGCACGTACCTTGTCAAGTTTCTCTCGTGCTTTTTGTCAATCTTTCACTTGATGGTGTTCCATTTCACTCTTGGGAGCTTCCACTAGTCATATGCATGTGCCTTGTCAAGTTTCTCTCATGCTATTCGCGAATCTTCCACTTGGTGATGTTCCGCTTCACTCTTGGGTACTTCCACTAGTCATGTGCATGTTCCTTGTCAAGTTTCTCTCATGCTTTTCGTCAATCTTCCACTCGGTAGTATTTTGATTCACACTTGGATGTCTCGTCTAGCCGTGAGCCTATGATAAAGTTGTGTATTCCCATCATTACGACAACCTTTAATATATCTTTCTACCACACCCCCCCCGACCTGTGTTCTATTCTGAACTCAACTAGCTATACTCTAACTTGACCGACCCAAACTGTGCTCCCCGAATGTGCCGCATGATCTTCGTCGTCTCGCATAACAAACAATCCTTGCCAAGTGTTGACGGAGCCATCGATGGAGGTGGAGGTAGAAGGTGTGAGGTGGTTGGGTATGGTGGGTGGGTGATGAAGGTGGAGAAAGAAGAAGGTGTGAGGTGGTTGGCTATGGTGGAGGAGTGATGGAGGTGGAGGCGGAAGAATGTGTGAGGCCGGTCGGCTATGGCGCCTTCCCACTTTTAAGTAGCGGTCCCGTCGCTCTTGTGTCGTTCCAAGGTCAGAATTCTCAAAAAACTCAGATGTGCGAAAGACTTTGAAAAATACTCAGATATGGAGAAACTCGGATTTGCAAAAAACTCCGATTCGCAAAACCTGAGATTTGTGAAAAACTCTGATTCGCGAAAAACTTAGATTTTGCAGATTTGCAGATTCTTCTCTCACCGGAGGGTAAAAAAACTCAAATTTTTGTTGGCTGCCCTAAACGATGTCAACTGGGTCTGTAACTTTGCAGACCATTTGTACCTACCTTACAGATGACCCTGGGTCCCATTGTGTCGCTGTTTTCCCCTACTTGCCCGTTTTGGGCTTCGTTCGGAGCTTTAAGCGAACTGTTCGAGGAAGTTCATTTTTCGTTTTTGTCGGAAAATGGACTGAGGTGGACCCGAGATTTTGCAAACCATCTACCTATGCCTAGGACATGGGGCCTGGCAAGTTCCAGTCCCCATGTCCTCTGTTTGGCGGGGGTGGTTTTTGGCCCCCCGGAGTCACGCCGAATGGTTGACAATTCTGGATCGGCCTTTGGCTGGGGCCAGACAACGGTTCCAGGAGCAGCAGCAGTTAAGTACTCAGTCCAGTAATAGCATCATCATCATCAGCAGTAGCAGCAGCAGCAGTTGCACCCCCCTATTCCCCGGGAACCCGGCCTCTCCATTGCTATGGACGTCACTGACCCGTTTCCCCGTGATCGCTTTAGGCACGATGGCATCCTCACGGTTGTTGACCGTTTGAGTAAGTTCACGCGGTTTCTTCCATGCAAGTACTACGCCACGACTCCTGAGCTCGCGCGGCTCTTGCACACCGGCCGGATCTGCGGCCACGGTGTTCCGGAAGACATCGTTAGCGACCGCGACACTCGGTTCATGTCGACATTTTTTACTTCTCTCATGAAGGAGTTCGGCACCGAATGAAACCAAGTCGGCTAGGCACCCACAAACGGACGGGCAAACGGAGCGAGCACATCAGACTGCTCAAATGATGCTTCGTACGCTCATCCGTCCGGATCAGAAGGATTAGGTTGATCGCCTCGCCGACATCGAGTTCGCCTACAACACTTAATGCATCCGGCAATCGGCGTTACTCCATTCGAGTTGCACTACGGTGGCCAGAAAGGTCGTATCTTCGCTGATCTTCTCCTTCCACGGCTGCCAATGTAGATGCCGCTTGCTCTCCCGCCTCCGTCCGGAAGTACAGGGAATTGCTGACTCAAGCCAGTGCGAACATGCACAAGGCTCAAGTCCGCATGTAGCAGCAAGCCAACAGGCGTCACGTGCCATGTCCCATTCGCGCCGGTGATCTTGTTTGGGTCTCCGTGGAAGAGTTTTGCGCTCGAACAGGATGTTTCGCGCAAACTACTCCCCAAGTGGTTTGGACCATGGACCGTCCTTTCAGCCGCAGGCAACGAGCCCGACGACCCATCCTTTGTGATCGACATCCCTCCGCATCTGTCGGCCCATCCTTTGTACTCCCCACTTGGGTGAGAGCTGACCTTGATCAAGGTGTGGAGGGACTGATACACGATTGGAGCTTGCATTAACTGCGGCCTATATGGGCACCAATAGTTCAAGTGCAGGAACGTTAAGGTTTCTCAAAGGGTCCCACCCTCGATGGGTGCTAGCAGATCCTCCGCCCAGGGTGGTGCGTCTATGAGCACATCCCAGGGAAACACGCCGGGCCAGTAGAGGTTATAGCTGCCTCTGCTCATGCTGAAGTGGCGGATGTTCCCTCACCACTTCAGGAGTTGGCCGAAGCTATTACCCCGCAGACGCATCTTGACCAAACCAACTGATATTTTGTTCATTAGATGTGTTTGAGGCCTTAAAGGCCTTAAAAGACTTAGAAACGGAGTGGTCAGCAAGAGAATCGCGTGAGTTTTGGGTGGCTTTGTTGAAAGGTCTTAGAGGGGAAAACTTCATTGTGGAGGTCGGTGTAGGTCGCCGCGAGCATGGTGC